ACAGATATACATTATATATATTATATTACGCTTATTTCAAAGCCTATAGACACAATGTAAAACCAAGTTAACGTCTGTGATTCGAAACCTACCGTACTCATGAAGTGCATCATTCCATATTTCAGATTAATTGTAGGAAAAATAATCACTTTTACCGTCGTTTCTCACGGTACCGACAGCTGTCTCACGAGAAGTGTTGTTTACTTCTGCATTCCCAAGCAGTGTTTCCCAGTCAGTTGTTTTGTGGTTTTATATGGAACGCCAAAAGAGCAACACGTTCGAACAAACATACTCAGTTTTTAGGCACAGTCGGTTAAAAAACACAGTCGATTTTGGCAGACATAGTCCGTTTTCGGTTAGTAAAACTTTTGCTTTAGCTGCACCTGAACAAAATATGTTGTACTGTAAACCTACTTTTGCAAATCATGTTAATCTTAATGCAAACAAAAACGTTTTCTAAGAAAATGTTGGAGAGAAACTGCTATCAGATCCTCTACCTAAACGCAATTCGCTAATAGTTTAAGTCCATGAAGCATGCCTTTTAAATCATAAAACATGACCTTAACACTGCAGTATAACGTAACTAAAGGAATAACTGAATGAGATAACATTTAGTTGTCATATTGTTCTTTTTATCAAAACTAATCACGTTGACGTTCACAGAAGCGAGCGGGGCGAGTAAATAAATGTAACGTAATATGTATTAGTTCTACTTATATCAACTGTTTTTCCAATGGTTCGCTAGACTTGCCACAAGTCTCATTCTGGACAGCGCCACCAACGAAATATTTAATTTAGAGACGGAATAAATCCGAGAAAAAAAAAGATATCGAGTATGGGACGCCAATTAAATTAGGTATGGAGCGCACTAAGTGCAATAAAGAGTGAGTAACCCAAATTTAGGGCCTGGAACCTAGGCTAATGGTTCGCCTATGTTTAATTATAGGTCTGATAATGCTGGTGTATGTTTGAGTAGTAAGCATCTATCATGGATAACGCCTTGCGTTTGTATCAGCATTTTATTTTATAAACAGCACTGTCGATTATAATTGTTAAGGAAATATAATTATAAAAAAATAGGTGACAGACTAATAGGGAACAGTTCTGTTCCCTGCTAATAGTTGTCAGTTTTAGAAATGTCGTCCCCAAATCCAGTTTAAACGCGTCCTTGCCCAACAAATTTTGAACTATTGAATAGATGCTGTGTCAATTAAAAACGGCGTGTTTATCATATTAAACTTAATTTTTCTCCCGAAAATGAGAGTAAAGAATAATTAGATTGACTATCTAAAGTACCTAACGACCAGTCAATTAATAGATTGATTGATGTCATTATAGATTGGTTGATTGATTGATTCAAATTCACTTTTTCTCTCTTTAGACAAAAAAGCCTTCAAGTGGGACGTACGGTATTTGCTTGCGTAAAATATTGTATGTGAGCGCCGCACATAGACATGTACATGAATTCACATTTTCATATAGAACTGACGAATATTAATATTCATAATATTTTAGTACTATTGTGCTATTAATAACATAACAGTACAATATTAAGATAATGAAGGTAGCTTACGGGCCTTCATATCGAAACAGAAGTAAAGATATCGTGTTTACCCAGTCTTCACAATACTTTCGACGTTTAACCTTGTGATCCACATCGCAAGTCAAGCAAAACGCTTACTTCCGAAAAGGTTAATTAAATTTATATTAAATAAATCTGAAGAAAACCATCATACAATCAGTCAATTATTAATAAACAATGTAGGGAAGTTTAATTTAATGAAACATATAGGCTTTACCTTATTTTCGTAACAGTATTTTTAGGCTCATGGCCCCATGGCCAAATTGTAATTAAGATTAATTTATTCAATAATAACTATAGATTCCAACTGGCCAGTCAACGAATAATAGGCCTATGATAGTAACAGTTTTATAGTGCAATTAAAAATATTTTAAAAGTTCAAATTGATTTCTCGTTGCCTATAAAATACTTGGTAAATGTAATCGATACAAATATCATTGGATATATATGTATAATTATACACATCTAGATGT